AGGATGATGAGTTTGTGCTTCACATTTAGGTCTGCATTGTGCTGGGCCATATTGATATAGTCAATTCTGTCTTTTTGTTTTTCTAGTGGCACTGATATCAATTATAATGCAGCTCAACTGAGTCAGAAGACTAGTAATCAAAATGGAATGACAGTAAATACTATAGTCTCCGATTTGGTGAATGCTTTACAACCAAGACTAAATGGATTGATAGATGTGTTAATATTTAATCCACCTTATGTACTAACTCCATCAGAAGAGGTAATATTTTAAGCAGACTGTGGAATTGTGGGATCTAGCCACACCCATTTACTAGTACTTAGGAATTGATGCGACTAACTTGATTTTGACACAGGATTATTCTGATATTTATATTCCATCTGACTACCGTAATCATTTTTAGGTTTGAATTTTTTTTACTGCCATTCATGTAAAATGTTGACCCCCTAACTTAAAGAATTATATGTAACCACTGCTTTTAATGTACACACATTTTAACATTCAGGGGCACCCAAGGTCAAAGGTCAGATTACTGTTCAACTTGTCACAATCTCTCCATTGTTGTCTGACCTTTTTGCTAAACTAATGCCTCCACAGTCAGTGACCGTGATTTCATGTTAATTGGCTGATAAATCTGAATATGCTATTTTTTACAAACAGTGGTTCACAATTATACATTTTCCACACACACTATATCAATATGACACCTAAAAAAATTAATCCAAGCTAAATTCCAAGACATTTGACAATGACCAGAATTTGCTCAAATCCCAAGATTTCAGCAAATTACTTTGCCAGAGTTTGATAAACTTAGTCAAGAATGCAAATTTATATATTTAAATACTTCAGAAAATAGTGCCACAACGAAACAAGTTTGAATGTCCTCGTTTTTCATTACATTACAATGGTTAATGAGCAAAATCTTAGCAAGCAAGTCCTGATCTTTGTGGAGAGTCAGTTTCAAACTGTTTACACCTACTTTTGTACAAAGAAAGCTGTGGATCCTACCTAATTACTATAACGTCAAAACAGTTATAGGTTTGACAAAATTTTATGTACTTTCATTGCCAGATTTGTGCGGTTCACTGAAGCTGACCATCTATGGCCATTTCTATGAACCAGTGCAAGATTTGGTTAGAAAAGCTGTATTTGACCTCTGTTAAATTAAATGATTTGATTGGGTATGCCAAGGAGCTGGATCCATCAATTAGTGTTCCTGTAACAATTAACTCACATCAACTCCAAAATTAAAACCAAAATGTTTTGCAGTCATATATCATGTCATAGCTCAACTGACAAAAACACACTACGTCACATTCAATTTCCTATGGAAACATCATGTCACAACACTCCACTTTGTGTTCTTTTTAACATCAGAGTATGTGCTGGCGATAGTGAATACAGATTTGTAGTGGGAATTCTGCCAATCTATAATAGTGGCTGGAAAAAATATAAATGGTTCTTTACTACCATTAACTAATTGGTATATTTTATTTTTATTAGGTTGGAAGCAGAGACATTGTAGCATCCTGGGCGGGTGGTATTGATGGTAGACAAGTTATAGATAGAATCTTACCAATTATACCCACTGTTTTATCACCAAAAGGAGTGTTTTATCTTTTAATATTAAAAGAAAATAAACAAGGTGATTTGATTTTATAAATATGAACATATTAAAGGGCGGAAGTCGTCGTGCCGCATCCTGTTTGATATGGGACTCATGCGACGTATACAATGTGTGTAAAATACATTGTTTATTTACATGAAATCTGAACACGTGCTGCGCGACGACCACCGCGCTTTAAAATATATATATATGTATGTAAAAATCCATTTCCTATATTGCTATGCCTCACAGTTGTCATGGTTACCATATGATGTATATTCTGTATTTTTTTTTTAGGTACTTATTAAAGTATAATATCATTTTATCAATTAATTTCACAGATGAAATTGAAGATATAATGAACAGTCATGGTTTTGAAATGGCTGTAGTTTTACAAAGAAGGACTGGTCCAGAACGGCTCTCTGTGCTGAAATTTACTAGAATTGACATGACGTACGCTTAATCTGCTTAATATATAAATTATAAATTCAGTCAAATTTTGTGCTTTCATTAAGACCAGCAACAGTTGCGTTTTCCTCTTGTTATAGTGTGTGATAGCATGGAAATGATGAACAAAAAAAATTTGGTATATCATTACTACAGTTTGTATCTTATTAATCAATAATAAGGATTCCACATATTCAAATCTATTTTTTTATTCTCACTTGTTAGTCACCTTAATTCATGGAATGATTTCTTAGTTACTGTATGCAATTATTAAAGAACTGTGGTCATTATGCCACGTATGTGTGAGATATGGGTGTCATATGAACAAAGATGACATCTTTGACTGTTGCACAGACCGAGGAGTACAAACTGATATGTTACTAAACTTTAACTATGTAATTTCTTTGGTGATTGAAAAGTATTAAGGAGTCACCAGTGGTAATTAGTGCTTGTCATGCCCAGATCAAAACTTGTACTTGTGATTTCCATTAGAAGAGCATAGTGGATTGTATGAAAATCAATGTTTATCAACACATTTTGCACATGTGCAGCGCAACGACCACCGCCCTTTAATGAAATGAATGCAGCAAAGTTTTGGAGTTGATCATCCTTAAGACTGTCTGGCCCATATGCCAGAGTAAGTTTGTTGATTTCCCCACTGTGAAGGGGACATCACAATGCTATGAAAGCTATGTTATTTTTCTTCATCCAGAAAAATATTTTTTGTATAATTCTGTGAAAAGATTAGTATAGCCATAACCACCTGAGCTATGTTCAGATCACAAGGAAATTCATTTTATCTTATTAAATCACTTTATATTCTTTCTAAGTAAAAGTATTCTGTGTATGTAAGCCATCAACTTAATCGTTTATTTATTTTCTGATAAATTGTTTTTTACCACAAACCAATACTTTTTTTTTAGGTCATTTCATTTGCTGTCTACAATAACAAATGTCAAGTATTCATTACAATATGTCTACCTGTAATTCAAGAATCTGATTGGCTTTCGTAGTCATGAGATATTGTCATATTTGGCATGAAGATAATGATAATTTTATTCCCAAACACAACACTATATCATCTCAACGTCATCCACCCTCAGCCTGGCATGCTTAAATAGAATTCAGTAAAACTTAATTTGTGATGGCTGACTATGTTCATCAATATGCTTCTCAAATTAGTTTAATTGTGTTTGAAGTCTTTGTTTTTTAATGTGGGTACAAAAACAATATCAGTAAATTATTTTGTGTTGCACTTCTATTATTATATCATAATTAAGGAAGAATGTGGAAAAAGCAATTGTACAAATTCCTGAGTAGGATGATACAATGCAATAACAAGTTGTTTCCTCATTTGGGTACCTCCAAGTTTAGTTTCTGATCTTTCAAATAGCCAGTCACACCTTTAATCTAATATTTCTGTCTTGTTCCACTCAAATCACTTGACATACATACATGATAAGGAAATGTAAGTATAATCCAAATGTTGCACTGATATTCTTGTAAAGACAAGTTCAAGCTTGAATGTATTAGTTATAAAACTACAGTGAGCCGTCACACAAATTTCAATATAATAAATGCAAATACAAATAATATTTAATTACTAAGAATATTGCAGCAGCCACCTCACTGGGCATGAAAAACAACAAAGTTTATATAGAATTACATAATATTTATCAACACACAACTTGCAGATAATAAAAATGGTCAAACAAAACAAAGCCAAAAAAATAACAATTACTAAAAAAAACGATATCTGTTTAATTTTTAGAAAATGGTTTTTAACTCAAACTATAGTTTGTCATATGGATATTTGTCAGCTACACATTTGGAATTTCTTCAATTCATAATGTCCCTATTAAAAACAAGTGAGATTCAGAAATTATTGTCTCTCATAAAATTCATAATTTTACACATATTTACAATACTAGTCACTTTCAGAAATTATTGTTCTCTAGCTCATTTAAGTTTTCAAACAGGAAAAACTTATGAAGTACCGCACAGTTTTAAATCTGTTTTTATAATATATTTGCAATAACATCACAAGTAGAAGCAGACATTATTGATCACCACCGTATAGAAACCACAAGTTACCTTAACTAGCTTTTACTGAAACTTGTAAATGATTTTACAAGACTATACACATACTTGATATTTCGTTTTCTATTTTGCTTGTCGCAGACTGTTGTTGTGTATGTTGTGGATGCATCTGCCCTGGTTGTTGCCTCATTTGCTGTAACCTCTGTGGTTGCTTCTGTCCTGGCCGCATGGCTGGTGGTGGTAGTTGGTGCTGTTGCATGGCTTGTCTTCGTACAACTTCTGGGTTTACTTGAAAAAACATCACTCTGTCATCAGCTGTTATAATAACGACTCTATTGCCCCTTGCAATAATATTTATGCTTGAAATGGGCGAATAACCATTGATAGTGGACAATAATTGCCCAGTATTGACGCTCCATATTTTGACGTATATCTCCTTCTTCTGTGCTGTGAGTACATACAGGTCATCGGCTGTGATTTTGAAATTATTCACAGTATTGGTGTGCCCTCCGAGAATGTGGATCAGTCGTAATGTTGCAACATCCCACAGTCTCAGGTCCTTATCTACTGCAGAGCCGGTAACAAAAAACTGGTCTCTCGAAGATATCTCTATCTTTGTAAAGTCCTCATCTGTCTTTACTGAATCAATATCATGAAAAATTACTGAGCGGATTTCAGCTCCATTGTCAAGGTTATGCAGCTTGATGCAACCATCACCCCATCTACTTATAATGATTCTCCCATCCTTTGTGACTGCAGTGCCTTTAACACAATAAATAGTGAATGGTGCTGAAAATTCTATCTTGTATATGTCATTTCCTGTTCTAAGATCTACCATGGTGAAACAGGTTGACTGACAGAACAGTAATCTATAACCAGGAAGTAAATATATCGACTGCATATCGCAACTCGTTTTATACTCTTTCAAGTACCATCCTTTATTAATATCATATATATACATGTTTTCAACGTAGCCGGTGCCTCCCAACAGAACTGTTAAACTTCCATCACCATAAACCATGATTCCACAGCAGTCTGCTTCTAACTTCTTTGATGCGACAGTTTCAATTGTGGTGGAATCATACTCCATCAAGTCACATCCGCCAATAGCATACAGTCGCTTTCCATCCCAGCTTGATGCAAGCCCTCCAAGATCTTTGCCTGTCCATGTTTTTTTATTGATTTCTTTCCCTTTAACTGCATCATATAATATTATGTTGTCCCCATTGTTGTCGATTATGGCAACAAGTTGCTCTTGGTTAAGAACTTGAAAGCGTTTTACATTTCTTACCATCATAGGTCTTTTATCAGCAAATGTTGCGGTAATTGCCTGCTTTTCCTCCATGTCACCTTGAGTAGCACCAGGTCTACTGAGATTGCTGAGGTTCCATACCTTTATGTTTTTATCTTTTGATGCAGTTATTGCTAGTAGTGTGGGTACCTCAAGAAAACACACTTTCGTCACTCTACTCTGATGGGGCAGCTTAGCTTGGAACTGATATGACTTTTCATTTCCTTGTGGCGCCCTCCAAACAGAGATATACTCATTTTTGGCGTTTCTTGTGACAATCGTTTTCCAGTCCTCAGTGAAGTGCACGTCCTGAATCTGACCACGACCACTGATGCTGAATTTCACTCGATTCGCTTCTTTCTTGTCTTCGACGCTGTATATTATCAAACTGGAATCATCAACTTGATCCTGGAACAATACTTGACTGTCGTTGTTAAGAAACCTTATAAAGAATACACTCTTGATCTCTATGTCGGATATGTAGGTGAATTGAGCAGTGTGAACATCAAGTATGCCCAGATATGAGAAATGAAATGCCACATAACGACCATTTGATGAAACTGCCATTTGTGTGCATGCCTGATGACGTAATTTTCTCCGATCCAGCACTTGGGTAAGGAACTTACCAGTGAATAAGTCCCAAATGTTGATTACAGGGTCTTCTTCCCTACCACACGTAACAATAAGAGGACGTCCAATGTTTGACCTGGCAATAACTAGGTCATTCAGGTAAGCTGTGAAAGATGATTGCAAATAAAACTAAATAAATGCATGTTGCTGTTCTAAATCAAGGCCATACTTCCTAATTGTTTACCAATGAAATAACATGCAATGTAGAATCAATATTTTACAGCTGATTTTAATAACCATAGAATTCACACACGATTCCAATGTTCCCTCTCCAATCAATGTTTACATATGAATACGGCTGTCAATGAATTTGAATAAAAATGAGAAATATGCACTGGTTGACCTGAGGTATAAGCCGAAATTTGTATGAGACAGGTTAGTGAGATTCGATTCATTTCAATTCTATTGTGAACACATTGTTATTCTTTACATGAGAATACACAATTAATTGGTAGACTCCAAATTTTGTGTTATCACTAAGGCAGTGTGGTGTCACAATCGAAAACGAACGAATCAAACGAATGAATTTCACACTCATCAATTTAAACTTATCATATTATATTTACTTACATTTATGTGCTTCTACAGGAGGATATAACTCGCGTCCATTTTCTAAACTCCATGTTTTGAAGTAATGGCCATGGACTTCATAATGGTCACGTGCTTCCTCAAGCACATACATTTCAGCCACAATAAATTTGATATCAGGTGTCACTCGCATCTCGATGTTACCATATCCAGTATGATTTATCAGACTAAGAAAATGCTCTCCGGTTTCAAGATTCCATACATTTATATCTGGAGCGGATTTACGCTCACCTCTGTCTCCTACAATAAACGAAAACATAACTTGTTTCAGAAAATATTGTCAGTGACTGAAATTGTAGTAAATACTATCCATTGTAAGTTAGAAAATTATTAATTTCATTTAAGAACCATATTTCTGGGTTATGACAACGAAAACGTGAATGGTATGAGCCTTCATCATAAGCTGTTGGTTTGTGTGTTAGAAATGACAATCTAATGAAGTAATAACCACACAGAACAAATTTTACGAAATGCAATACACATAGTGGCTGCTTTTAACATTTTGGGCTCTGAATTATGTAGTTCCCTGCACAATATTGATTGTTATTAAACTGAAAAAATATATATATTTATTATCATTGAGGTTGCAAATCAAAAAGCATAATTTTTTAACTTACTTGCTTTGAAACAGTATGTTATTACGAGTAAATCATCAGGGGTAATGAGAACATCGGCTATAGCTGATTTGTGGCGATCTTTCAAATTGTGTTTTATAGTACAGCTTTCTAATTCCCATACAATTGCAGTCTTATCTCTGGATCCACTAACAAGGTATCTTCCATCTGATGTAGTTGCTATACACAATACTTCA